AACTAAATAGGTGATCCCCACTAACCTATTTCTCTCAACATGCAACAATGCCACCTCAATATGCATGGGGGAAAAGCCCACCTCAGCATGCAACTATGCATGGGAAAATGCTCAAATGTTTCAATTCTGTTATGCTACTTATATTCAATTATACAATAGTCATACATTTTCAGTTCAGTTCTTATACTCCCTTGGATCCATATTACTTGTCGCTCAAACGGATGTATCTAGCACTGAAATACGTCTAGATACATCCATTTGGGCGACCAGTAATATGGATCGGGGGGAGTATTATTATTATTTCAAATGTTCATGTTCATATAAGATATAACCAAATCTCATCGAAATATATTGCAAGCAATTCCTGCAGCAATGCGTGGGGTATCATCTAGTTATTTTAATTAGGTGAACACAATATCTTGTTGATGATTACTCACATACAATACATAACTAGGAACACACTACTATAGCTAGCTGGCTGGGTCAATAATCTCTAACTATCTGTTTCTACTGTTGCGTCAGGATTTTTTGAAATACAACGAAACTCGCTTACAGCAGTTACCATGTCAAACTTTTGAGTCTATTCCCCTGGGAGAAGGTACTGGTGTTGGAATGATGAAAGGGGCTGACACAGTGGAAATGCCAGAAGGGTCCACATTGTATGATCTCATTCAAACTGGGATAACCCACTCGCATGCTGCAGTTGGTGTTGTAGTTCGTTTAAGAAAGGAGCTATCACATGTTAAAGATGTGCCTGTACTGTTTGCCATTGATCAGGTATGCTTATAGTGCCCATGCATGCGGCTTCTTTCAAATGTGATTGTTGTAGTGACAGTAATGATCAGTCTCAATAAATTATATTTCTTCCTTTTGCAGTATAACAGTTGGTTTACATTCACCGAGTACCAGGAGCCTGTAACTGTTAGATCCTGTCGATCTATCCACGCGAAAGAGCTTACAACGGTTTGTTGCACCAAAGCTGCTTACCTTTTTTAGCATTACCCTTCTGAAGTTGCATCCTCTCCGAAATTGCTTGTAATTTTCTCCTTCCAAAAGTGGCAAACACCTGTGTATCCTTTCAGTCAAACTTTCCTATCTTTGACCAAGTTTCTACTCCCTCCGTTCCCAAATACAAGTCTTTTTAAATATTCCAACAAGTGACTACATACGGAGCAAAATGAGTGAATCTACATTCTAGAACATGTCTATATACATCCGTATGTTGTAGTCCATTTGAAATGTCTAAAAAGACTTGCATTTAGGAACGGAGGGAGTAGAAAAAACTACTCCATCCGATCCATGTTAACTGTCGCTGAGTTAGTACAACTTTAGTACAAAGTTCTATTAACTCAGTGACAATTAATATGGATCGGAGGGAGTATCAAAATCTGCAGTACTAATAAACAATAGACCCAAAGTGGCCGGACCCTTCCCCGGACCCTGCGCAAGCGGGAGCTACATGCACCGGGTTGCCCTTAATAAACAATACTCTCTCCGTCCTATATTAATTGTCGTTCAAACGGATGTATCTAGCCGTATATCAGTGCTAGATACATCCGTTTGAGCGACAATTGATATGGGACAGAGGGAGTATGTGAAAATATATTTCTTGGTGGATATAATGATACTGATTTGTGATCGTACATGTTTTTTTTACAAACTTGGTCAAAGATAGAAAGTTTGACTTCTGAAAAAAATTAATACACCTTATAGAAAAGAATGGAGAGAGCTCTTTCTGGTTAGGCTACTGTAAAAAGCTTAAGGCGTTTTCCCTTTTCTGGTTATTCATTTTTCTTTACAGCCCTAGATTGTTCTGTTGTTTCATTAATCTAGCTGATAGCAGTGCTGTGATTTGTCGCATTAGATTCTTGGAGTTCTGAAAAGCATTTCTTGTTTTTGTTTTTTCAAGTAGACACGGTGTATAGGTTTTAGTGTACCAAGAATTCTTAAATGAAATTTGATAGATCTGAGAATTTAGTTTGTCTTCATTTTGGTCTAAGAAATCAAATGAAGTTCTCTTATCATGTGGCACTGGTATTGCTGTTCTAACTACTTTATTATATAACTCGTCATAGCTAATTTTATTTGATAAATCTTCTCTTTCACCAACTTTGGCTGGTCTGAAAATGTACATGCATGATTTTTTAAGCCCTTCTGACTAAAATGATCACAACTAATTATACTTTATGTATTGCTTACTTCAACAGGTCAATGCTTATAGGTCAATGCTTCACAATGATATGATGGTAGGAGCCTTCTCACATTCAACCGCAGTTGGCAAACTAAGACAGGAGCTCCCGGATGTTCCTTCTGATGCTCGTCTGCTTTTTCCACGGTACACCGTAGATGAAGCAGAGACTGTGTGCCACTATTATATGAGGTACTTCCAAATAAAAATTCTGTCTAGTGATAGCTTTTGAATATTGTGCCATAGCCGGCAATCGCATGTGCTTACAGAAGCTCTGTTTGCGCGACCTGTGGCTTTTGAAATTAATTGAAGCAAACAATCATTTTGATCTATTTGTTGGGCAGGCAAAAGATTATTCGACGTGAAAGTTTTTCAGAAGAGAAGTGGAAAAAGATATACTATTTGTCAAATGGAAACGGCTCAGAGATGAGGTGGCTTGCTGCGTTTATATGAGGCAGTGAATACTTAAAGTTAATTAATAATCATAATGTTCTGTTCTGAGAACAGTCTGCAGTCCTGTAGCTTCAGGTGTTGTCTGGATGTTTGCACAAGATTTGTGCTTTGATTTGAAATCCCCGGTTATCAGTAATTTTGTGTTCGCTTTTGCATCTTCTTATGCAATTTCTGATGCCAGGAGTGATATAGTATAAGAAAGCTGCCACTTTGGTTCCAGCATGCCAATTTCCCACTGTTGTATACTTGTACTATGTCTTATGGAACTCCTGGGAGCAAATTGCTACCTAGTCAAATACCCAAGATTTTCTCCCCGTATTAGAAGTGTGAACATAATTTTGGCTGTGGCTCCAAATTTTATCCATGTGTTCTGACAACACATTCTTTATGGGTACTGGCCAGGATTATAGTGAGCTGACCTACTGAAGTAGGATAAGAAGAATAAGCAACTGATGTATAACTTTTGTCTTAGTAAAGCCTCAATATGTTTTTGTTCAGATATACGTATACTTTTCCCTGTTGGTTGGGGGCCGTAGTGATCAAAGAATTTGAGTTGCAGGGAGATCTGTCAATGAGTTGAACTTTTTTTTTTTTGAGGAAATGAATTGAACTTTATTGAAGAGGCACTTGCTACCAACTGAAAGCCTCCCTCCGTCGGGAAATACTTGTCATCAAAATGAACAAAAGAGGATGTATCCAGATGTATTTTAGTTCTAGATACATCATTTTTTATCCATTTTGATGACAAGTATTTTTGGACGGAGGGAGTACAACGTTATTTTGAGTCTGATCAGATAAGATTTTTGGCAAATGCTGTTTGCATCCTTTTCAATTATATATCAATCCTATTTGTGGTTTTGCTAGACTTATGTTGATGGTCTAATCTGTTAATTTAGCATCCTATGGTCACTCAATAATCTTATGACGACGAAGCTGCTGACCAGCTGACTTTTTGCACACGCCTCTGCGTTTGTGTGCGTAGTTATTGTGAAGCCTGTCGTTGCTGAGGATAGACTGTGGACTAAAAACGCAGATAGAATGGATTTGCCCCTCTAATACTCGGACAAGTTTTGATATCTACCGTTCTGAATTACTGGCTCTATATGGTTTTTGCTCCTGCGTTATTATCCATGGATCGCCATCTATCTTGGGTCACATATCAACCTCTTGATGTGGATTTCCTGCAGAAGCTTCTGACCTAATTCATTTCCGCGTCATTGATAATTCGTATCAATTCATTTGTAGCCCCTGCAGTGGAATCACGGTATGTAGTGTCGTAACGTCGAATACGTCTGTACTGTACTGTAATGTAATCTAACCTGCAAGCTACGCACGCACGCTTTGTTTTCCGTCGTACCAAATTGACCTCTATTTTAAACCTGTTCTGGTTCTGCTGAACGCCCCGGCCGGGAGTGTCATTGAATTTTCTGTTGCCAGGAACTGTAACAGGATACACGTCAATTTGCAAGCTTTTTGAGAGAGGCGACACATGTTAATCGCCCAGTATTCCCAAAAAATGTTTACGCGGGTTTTACAGGAGCCACAAATAAACATTTCAACCCTGGCAGAAATCTGAAAAGTCCTCGCGTCCCAAGCATTTCTATCGTGAATAATGCAGGGCAACTTGGTAGAAGGATGCAGAAACCCTCTCCTCCTTCCCGAGTGGTAGGCCCCAACCCTTGTCCCCTAGCAGGAAGGATAAGCCCGCACACAAGCTCTCCTCTTCCTTCCTCTGCCTTCTTCTCCCTTGGTGCAAGGAGCTGGCTCCTTGACGCTGATGTGCCCATGCCCATGTGTGTGAGTGCCCACCCATATATAGCTTTCTCCCTCTGGCTCCTTGTCCCCTTGCCAATCAGTTGATCCGTCCAGCACCAGCAAGCAACCGGGTTCAGGTTCAAGTTTGATCCTCTAGCTTTTTCGGTTGCGTCCGTCGATTCGTCTGCCATGGAGGGAGGAGGCGTTCCTTCCGCCCAGGACGTGTGGGACTGGGAGGTGCTGCCTGACGAGCACAGGAGCTTCTACGCCGAGACCAGGGCCGCATCCCGTGCCCACGACGGCGGCGAGGTTCTTGCCGGTAAGGAAAGGGCCCGATCAGCCCGCTCTCGATCACGATTTACTTCGGTTTCCACTCGTGTTCTCATCCCCGTAACTGCAATTGATCGCGCGCGTAATTTCAGATCACGAAACCGAGGAACCGATCCTGCCTCCCCCGTCACAAGTCGACGCTGATAATGTTGACGAGTGCAAGGACATCGGCGTCGACGTCGACGTCGTGCCGGCCGGGGCCAGATCAACCCAAGAGGATGAGGAACCCGCGGCGCCGGAGCTGCTAGTCTCTGACGGCGACGGAGAGGAGAAGTTCCAGCCCTGTGTCGACGCCAAGGAGGTGGACGATGATGGCAAGCAGATGGCGGCGGCAGAGGCAGTGGAGTCAGAGCTTCCTCCTCACGAGTTCGCCGCGGGAGAGGAGGAAGAGGGCAAGAAGGAGGAGGACGGGGCGCCGCCGGAGTGCGTGGTGTTCAGCGTGGGGAAGCTGCGCGTGAACGCGGTCGGGGCGCTGTGCTCGTTCGGGGTCGCGGCGGCCACCGTCTGCGTTTTCCTCGTCGGCGGCAGGCTGCAGCACCAGAAGCAGCACCAGCACCACCAGCAGCAGAAGATCCAGCTGCAGTTCCTTGGCGATGATAAGGTTTGCTGACTCGGTCCCACCTAATCCAATCCAGAGCATCAGACTCCTTTTCAAATTAGTAACTCAACTTGAACCAATTACAGTATCAATCAACTGCGTTTTTTTAGAAACACACTACAAACACTCACATGCATGCACACGCACTCACCCGCATACGCTCACCCCCTATCTCTATTGTCATCTTGTCGAGCCGGCAGATCTTCAGATTGACGAAGTCGCCACGGAGCCTCGTACTCCCTTCGTTCGGAATTACTTGTCGCAGAAATAGATGTATCTAGACTAATTTGACAGGTGCACAGCCTAATTTGACCAGTTCCAACACGGAGTTTTTCTTCCCGGATTTGACCTGACCGGATCGGCGCCACGCCATCCCCTTCTTGTGCAACTGAATCTTGAAATAGCCTAGGATTGAACTTGAAGCTAACTAGTCATTATTATTTGTCCAAGAGAAGCCTTGCTGAAGTAGATATGCTTGTTGATTTGTGGATGTGCAGAGAATTCAGCAGGTGGTGCAGCAGACATCGAGGCTGAACCAGGCCATGTCATCTATGATGGGGGCAGGCGCGTCCACAAGGGCCAACATATCGTTCGGTGGCTTCTACGACGGCTTCTGATCCACCCGCCCGTGATTCAACTCTCGGATCAAGCACAAGCTGCTGGATTCAACTACGTAGATCTGATGAAGAAAAAGCTAGCTCATGTTATAGCAAATCGACAGCCTTGTTAGTAGTTGTCATGTACTCCAACGTATAACATAGATCACGCCACCTGCAAAAACAAAAAAAGACATAGATCACGTGTTTGTACATAATGCACGATATACTGGATGTAAATAATTGGGAGTGTTGGACCGTGGCCGGGGCCGGCTGTATGTGTATGCACATGAGGATGGATTCATTAATAGATTTGTTATTAAGTTCATAGATAAGGGATCCGATGAACGATGATAACGAGGCCAAGAAGAAAGAACTCGCAGAGTTGATTGAGTACCTTTTGGAGCTGGACGAGATCCAGTGCATGCAAAGGTCAAGAGTAAATTGGTTACAGAAGGGTGACCGCAACACAAGCTTTTTTCAGGTGTACACATCAACAAGAAGGAAAAAGAACTTCATTAAAATGTTAAAAATAATGATGGTGAATGACTGGAAGGCAATGCTAACTTGAACCCACATATCCAGAGTTATTTTGAGCACTTATTCACGTCTGAGGTGAACCAAACTGACCCGACATTATTGGCAAAAGTTGAAACTAAGGTGATCGAACATATGAATTCAATGCTCCTGGCCCCATTTACCGTTGATGATGTTGGTAAAGTTGCTTTTAGTATTGAGGATTTGAAGGCCTCAGGACCAGATGGACTCCATGCAGTTTTTTTAAGTATTGGTCTCTTCTTGGTGACGAGATCACACAAGAGGTTTTGATTGCTATAAAATCTAGGGAAATTCCCGTAGAATGGAATGATACATCAATTGTGTTGATACCTAAGGTTGATAATCCAGAAGTGGTAACTCAGTACAGACCCATAAACTTATGCAATGTTCTCTATCAAATCATTTCTAAGATGCTTGCCTTACGCCTGAAAAGTATTTTGCCTGAAAAATTATCTCACCAACTCAGAGTGCTTTTGTTCCTGGGAGACTAATCACTGACAATATCCTCATTGCGTGTGAGTGCGTGCATAAGATTAAAGGGCCATTTGCATTTTCGTCCCTAACTCGAAACACCTAATCAGATATATCCCTAATTCGAAAGCCTGCTCAAAAATGCCCCTCCGCCGTCATGTGCCCTTATAGAAATGCCCCTCCGAGCCGTTTCCGTCCAGTCAAGGCTGTTTGACCGCTAACGTGCCGTTTCTTTGACATTTTTGCCCCTCCTTCCGTACATCTGGGCCCAACTAACCGGTTCACTCTCTCTCCTCTCTTTATTCTTCCTCGCGACGATAGGGGAATTTTTGAGCACGCACTGGATCGGGCGTTTCTGCGGTTGGAGAGAGAGGGGCAGGTCGGGCACGGCGTGGTGAGCGATTTGTACGTCGGGCACGGTGGGCATGTCTTCTACGAGCTCGTCGGTGGCCGCCAATGTAAGTTTCAGTGTCGATTTGGGGGAGATATGGGCATATTGCGGAATTAGGGTTCATCAATTTGGGTTTTTTTGCTGTTAGGTTGATAGTGTCGGGATAGTTCAGTTTCAATCAGAGTTTTACATCCCTGATCTGACATTCTGTGGCCTTGAGGTTCGGTCGACGCGGTGGTGCCCTGGCCACGGGCTTATTCGTGCACGTCGCGTCGCCTGGGGAGGAGCAAGCTCCGGCAGAAGGTTTCTCGGCTGCCCTCTCGATGTAAGTGTTTGGCTTTTAAGCTTGATTCGATTCTGCTCTTTCTCCTCTTTCTAATTTGATCATTGATTTTGCAGCTTCATGATGAATGTGACTGGGTTATCTGGATTGACCCACCACTGACCAAACGTGTTGTTCGTGCATTTGAGGAGCTTCATGCAGGATTGGAGAAGAGCTGGCTAAAAGCTCATGATTTAGAGAGAAGGGTGATGAGAAGAACAAGAAACTGAAGTTGAAGATGAAGAATAGGAACGAGCTTATGCAAGCATGGGAATTTATCATAATTCTTGGTATTAGCATTTTGGCCACATTTGTTTCTAGGTGGTGTAATAATCCATACTAAATGGATTTCTGTTTGTAGTGTATGCTGTGATGGAGCTTAGTTTGGGAATGTATTATCCCAGAACAATGTTGTGATTTGAGAATGCTGTGATTTTGCTATAGATTGAAATATTTGACCAAATGGTGTGTTGTGACAAAATAGCAGCTCACAAAATAGCATAAATTCTAAATTCATCATTGCACAATCAGCATTGCACATTAAAGATAGCAGCTCACAAGTTCACCATTAAATAAGTTCATAATTTCAGCATCACACACTTAAGATAGCAGCTAACAAGTTCACAAATAGTTGTTAAACAACAAAAACAACACTAAATGATTCCAGTCACAGATCTTTCATCTTCTTGCTCCTGGTGTTGCAAGCAGGGTTAGTTAAGAGCCTTGAACACCTCCTTGTGGTGACAATTTTGCTCACTTCTTTGCTTAGCTGGTTGCTTCCAGTTACAGATCCTACTGTAGGATCTGGTGCACACTTGAGCCTCTTCTTGGCTGGTGACATCCCTCTATCAGCTGCCTTTTTGTAGTTCTTTCTTCGGCTACAATTGAAATTAGAATATTAAATGAAGCAAAAAAGGAAATGAGAACATTAAATGAAGCGAAAATTGAATTGAGAACACCTGTTGCAATTGCACCTTACAGCAGATGACACCGTTGGTGCATCCGTAGCAATTGCAGCATCAGGTTCAACCTCTGTAGCATTTTCAGCATCAAGTTCAACCTCTATAGCATTTCAGCATTAGTTTCAACCTCTGTAGCATTTTTAGCATCAATTGCAACATCTAATTGACCATCTGTTGCATTTTCAGCCCCCCAGTGTTCTTCTTCCCAAAAAGCTGTGTTAATGGATTCCTTGCAGTGAGTGCCACGATAGCCAAGCCTTCCACACCTGCCACATTTCTTTATCCTTCCTCCATGTCCTTTTCCCTCAGATTTTGCCCTAATTCTTGTCTTCCTAGGTCTACCAGGGGCCCAATTTTGCAATGGAGTAGACAATTTAAACCCAGGGTCCACCACATCCCATTGTTGTTTGCCCTCCATTGCAGGCAAATTTTCAGCATAACTAGCATTGAATCTAGCAACAGAAAAGTACTCATGTACATACCGATCAATCTCACTTACTGAGCCTCTCATTGAAGTAATAAAATACAAATCATGTATGCAAGGCTGTCCAGTTAACTGCCACTTTCTACAACTGCAAGTCCTAGTTTCCAAATGTATTGGATATCTCCACTCTCTCTTTTCCTTGTCAACTGCTGTGATCTCTGCCTCATATGTGCTTCTCTTCACTATCTCCATATCAAGGTCCTTAGATTTTGCATGAAGCATTTTCATGACTTTGGGGATTATGATGTGGCCAATGAATGTAGCAGCTGCAATCTGCTGTCTGAGATCAAACTTCTCCATTATAAACTATCTTATTTTGTCTAGCAAGTCCACAATGTGTACACCCTTCCATTTTTTAATCTTTGAATTAAAGGACTCAACTAGATTGTTACTAACATAATCTACTTTACACACTTCATTGAACAGTGACCTTGCCCATAGCTTGGTGTGATGCTCCTCTAAGTACTCCTTCACACCAACCTTACTGCGCAACTGCCTAAGATGGTAGTTCTGTTTCTTTATGCTGTATGTCAATGAGCAGGGCCATCAATTTTCATCAAAGAATTTTCCTCTAAACTTTTTGTGAAATTTGTAGCCAAATGCCTCATGCATTCTCTGGGCTCCACACCTGGGAACACAGCTTCCACTGCAGTCTCCATGCCTTTGCATGCATCACTGTGGATAACAAGACCTGGTGGGTGTCCTATAAGCTCTCTTAAATTCTGGAAAAACCAAGTCCAACTCTCTATATTTTCACCCTCTAGAACTCCATATGCAACTCGGAAGATCCAATTGCAAGCATACACAGCACATGCACTAACTAGTTGCCCTCTAAATCTACCATTTAACGCAGTGGCATCTACTGCAAGATAAGGCCTACATCCATTCAAAAAAAACCTTGCCAACATGCTTTGAAAGAAACAAATACTCTTCTAAAGCACTCTTTCCATCTACTCTTCACATTTAGTTTGTACTGTAGAATGTGTTTATCAATGCAAACTACACTGCCAGGAGATGCTTTCCCCACTTCTCACTGGCGCGCGTCGGTCCTAAACAAACGGTTTTTTACCCCTTTCCGCGACGACATTTGGAACCGTCCCAAGTGAGTGTGTGCGATAGGGTGTCCTTCCCACACGACCCAGAAATCGTCTGGGATAGGCCCTCCTGGGACCCAGGCTGGGGCGGGGCGAGGCATCGAAACCCAATCATTTTCGTAGGTATGTACATCCCACACGGTAATCCGAGAAAATCATTTCCGTAGGTATGTACATCCCACACGGTAATCCGAGAAAATCATTTTCGTAGGTATGTACATCCCACATGGTGAATCCCAGAAAAACATTTCCATTCGTATGTATATCACACACAGTCAATCCAAGGAATACCTTTCCGTTCTTATGTACATCCCACACAGTCAATCTAGGGAAAACGTTTCCGTTCGGATGTACATCCCACATGGTTTTATCTATACGCTCGCGTGTGAAAGGTGTAACTATCACACACGCTCTGCCTTGGTTAACCGTTTGCTTTCATTAACTACATCACACACGTTTTGATGTAGAAAACTGTGTGGCATTGGGCTATCCATCGCAAGCGCTTTTACTGCTAGAGCCGTTTGCAAAGGTCCATGACCGTCTGCTCTATTTTTATTTTTGCCTGTAATTTATTATTATAATTGGAAATTTTGAAATACGAAACATGCAATTCAAATTCTCAGCACAATGGTTCAAAGACGAATCCATAAATAAAATTGCCAGTACAATATGTTCAGTAGTTACAGGATTAGGCAGCAATTAACTATGATGAACCGCAATATTTAAAGGCGATAAAGGT